AGCTGAAAGATGAGGATGGGTGCCTGAACAGGAAGAACGTAAATACGCTTGTCTTAAAGCTTCCAAAAGACAGTAATTAATAATCACTATTTCATAGGTGTATCACAAAGAGCAAAAAAAAAAATCTTCCAAGTCCCTATAATCAGCTTCTACCAAAGGCATCCTTGCCAGCTAAGTGAGGCTCTTTTGACCTGGTACCCTTTGAGTGCAGGGGGTGCACTGGGGTTAGAAAAGCCTGGTTGAAACCATTTTGTAAAACAGTGGTATGCTGGAGTCTGGCCATGCTGTCTTGTCAGAGCTGACTGAATTTTTATTAATTTGCATGACAGTGATGTTACATTGCTTGAAACTGGTCCTGGTGGAAGTATTTATATTTATACCACGGAAATGGAGAGCTAGTTTGCCAACATACCTTTGTGTGGAAGACAATAGAGTGCTTGAGAAAGACTCCTGGTTCTGCAACTTAAGATCCAAGTCAAGAAAGTGACTGCACTTCTCTAGATACTACTAGTATTGTACCTCATAATAGGTGAAAAGTACACAGCATTCAGAGTAACGAGCAAATATTAAGCACTCTATTAATGTTAATTATAATTTTTCATATATAGATAGTTCATGTGACTTTGTCCTTAAATTTCAAAGCAATTTTAATGGAATAACAAAGGCGCAAGAGTCCTGAAAAAAAAGGCAGTGTGAACAATTTCATAATAAAACAAGTATGCTTTTTTTGTTCATTCTTTCCCAGCTACCCTCCATGCAACATTTCTAACTTAGCATACATTTAATTTACTTGAACTTCTAAGACAAATATCATACAACTAAAAAGTATTAGAGGAGTACTGTATTATAATGTCAAAGAAGAACCCCATGCTTATGGTAAACATCAACTCTATTGTATGAATGTGAGCCCCAGGCTCAATTTGTGAATGGCACCTCGTGGAATGGTGCAACACAATGGCCCTTTACAAAGCTGTAAGAAGCCAGACCTTGTAACTGATCAGGAATCTCAAACTGACTACTAATACAGCCCACGGAGATGTTTTCTTTGGACAGTACAGAGTTTCTTCTTCTAAAATCTGAAGGTAAATGCCTTTAAAAAAATCAACTTAAGCCCACCACTCCCCATTTCTGATATCCAGGAAAGTCTGGAGGAAACAAGAAGCAGCTTCAAGAGTCTTCTCACAATGAAGTCACAGAATGCAATTAACTTCTCCAGCAACTGAGTTGTAAGAACATGTAAAGATTTGTCTACCAAGGAAACTTATTACACGCTCACTGGGCCCAAGGTTTTTATTATCAGCTGGTCACATAAGCACCCCTATGCCTAGCACATTCTAAAATTCCAGACTCCCTAAAGGAAAAGAAGTATTTAACATAAAACATACTGTTTGCACAATTTAGGCACAGCAAGCTACTCTTATCATTTAGGGAAAGTTTTATTTCAGTGTAGGAAACTGTTTACCAGGCTCAGGTTAATCTTGCAAGCAGGCCTTTCTAAGGATGGCAGCCTCAGGCTTGTTAACTCCTTCTGCACCCCTTTACCTTTTCTTCCCTGACAGCCAGAGGGGTAGCCTCAGCCCAGGGTCTCTACCCAACACAGCAAAGTCTTCCTTCTCTCCCCATTTACCAATCACTAATGATCCCCACTGCTCCAGTTTTGTTAACAAATAACATAATTCAAACTTTACCTTATCAAGCCAAACAAAAGTTGACTTATTTCCCATATGTTATTAAATATCACTCTACTAATCAGGGCTTCCAGTTAGCAGGATCCTAGCCATAATCTACAATGAGACACGATTCCAGCTAGAGGTAGAAAATCAGTCATTTAAACTACCCATTGGCTTTATCCATAAATATGTAATTTCCATTTGACTGTTGGAAATACTGCCAAGGACTCCCAACACTGCCCTGAAGACCCTTCTCATCTCTCACTTCCAATCTTGTTCAAAAATGTGCTGGGTCTAAGGCCATACGGATTTTATATCTAGGTTTCCCAGGATGGTCAGCCACAGAGAAGTAAGGCAGAAAGTGTACTGGCTGCCAGTTGACTGCTCAAATGTGCCACTAAGGATTTACTTCTGACCCACTAGTGAGCAGGCACCTGACGCTGGACAGCTTTCAGCATTCTCTCATCCCAGATCCCTTCTTCAGCATCCAGGAAGCACTGCTCTCTTTCCTGCAAAGGTCCACAACCTCAGAAAACAGACATTTTCAGTTTCTGTCCCAAGGGTTGGGGAGCTGAGGCCCACCATGGCTGCCAGCAAGAGGCTAAGCAGGGGTCAGCAGGCTCCGCCTGGAGTTATATTCAAGTGCTGCAGCCCATGCTAGATGCTCTGAACCACCTAAAGGGCCTAAGTGCCTCCTGAGGAACCTACTGCCTGGACCAGAAAAAAACTGAGTCCTGGAATTCCTTGACATTGACAGGGCAATCAATTAGGAATGACCAGAACCTGAGCACTACCTTAGTTCCACTATGGTAGACTTATCTCTGCATGGATTTAGCATTGTTCTGCCTATCTGTACACTAAAGTGGACCGCAGTCACTCTCCAACAACAGTATAGATTGCCTGCCTTGGAAAGATCCAGATCGTGAAACTTGAGAGACCGTCAGCTAGGGATTGGCAAGGCCTCAAGGGTGGAGGCCAGTGACGAATGGGCTACTCAGCCATCCTGGCCCCTCTGTGTGCATTTCTGAATCCTGAAACCAGCCCTGAAGCTGCTGCTTTAGCTTCACAGCTGGGGAGGGGAAGGATGTATCATGTCAGAATTCATTCAGATGCTAAGTAAGAACTTAAGCATATTTCATGGGGGTCTTGTTCCAATAAATCTCCCTTATTTGATTAAAGTGGTTTGAAAAGTACATTTGGCATTTGCTGCAATCATTCTCCCAAATGGTAGCATTTGAAGTACCAGCCAGCTAGGATTGCTGGTGCTGTTTAGAAGCCTCAAATAACCCAAGCATAAGAAGCTGGAATTGGGTTAAAATAAAGATTGTAGAGCCAGAAACCAAGCACTGTCAATTCTCAATCTCTGGAGCTGCTGATGCTTCCTAACTCCCATCCAAGAAAATGAAAGAGCATTCATTTTGACCTAATGGTGGGAAATCCCATTCCCAACTGGTAGGGCTTGCAGTAGGACTCCAAATTAAAGAAATCTGGTAAAGAAATCTCAGCTGTCTCTTTCAGCATTAAGGGGGAAAAAAACAAATAGCATTTTTATAATTACCATAAATTTTAAGTGAGTGAAAGCCCTATTCAATCAATTGCAATTTCCACACCAAAAAAAGAAAAAAAATCATAAAATCACTGCCAAAATAATAGCTGACCTTTTTATTAGTGTTTAGCACAATTTCATATTTCAATAAAAAGGGAATGTAATACACACTACTATATATAAAATAGATAACTAATAAGGACCTACAGTATAGCATAGGGATCTCTACTCAATACTCTGTAATGATCTATATGGGAAAAGAATCTAAAAAGGAGTGTATATATGTATATGTATAACTGACTCACTTTGCTGTACACCTGAAATGAACACAACATTGTAAATCAACTATACTCCAATTAAAAAAAAGGGGGGGGTTTACCTTAAAAAAAATAGCAGCAGTAGAAAAGGCTTTTTCTAACAAAGGAAAATAAATAGCAAGATTAAAATTGTTTTAATCTTAGAATAAGCTTTACATAATGGCTTTAAAAGACTGGTCAGATTCCATGTAATTTATAACAAACAATAAAAAAATTGCTGGCTGCAAGTCCAAAGAACTTGCACTGCAGCAAAATGCTAAAATAGGGCGTTTGCCAAAGGCAAATGGAATCACGCAGCTTCACCTAGCCTACAGACAGATTTTCAATCACTGACAAAGCCAAGTTGAACCTAATGCATTATAAAAACCTGTAGAAAATTAATTTAACCAAATGTAGTCTGCTTTTATGATCTCAACTCTGTGCCCTGAAGGTAAACATCAGCCAACTTCTCCTCAAATAAAGTGGATTTTTTTTTTTTTTAGAAGATGTTGGGGGTAGGAGTTTTTATTAATTAATTAATTTATTTTTGCTGTGTTGGGTCTTTGTTTCTGTGCGAGGGCTTTCTCTAGTTGTGGCAAGCGGGGGCCACTCTTTATCGCGGTGCGCGGGCCTCTCACTATCACGGCCTCTCCTGTTGCGGAGCACAAGCTCCAGACGCGCAGGCTCAGTAGTTGTGGCTCACGGGCCTAGTTGCTCTGCGGCATGTGGGATCTTCCCAGACCAGGGCTCGAACCCGTGTCCCCTGCACTAGCAGGCAGACTCTTGACCACTGTGCCACTAGGGAAGCCCAATAAAGTGGATTTTGAAGTTTATTAAGACCTTAACACACAAAACTGTGTGCTAAGTATCTAAACTGAGCAATTTGGAAAGTGTTGCTTATATCATCCACATTGTGATTTGCTAAGCTTGAAGATAATTTTTAAAATTCCATTATTTTCTTCTTTAAATGAGTACTTATATATTTGATGATTATTAACAATTTCAGTAAAGCATTAAAAAGTTCTTTGGCAAGTATCAAGTCTAGTCCCCAAAATGCCTCTAGGGGCCTAAGCAAGCTGAGAATGTAATATAACAGGGAGAACCAGAGATACTGCATGCTCCATCTAACGCATTCAAAATCAAAAAGAAAACAAACACTTGTCTGTGGGCTGACGAATGGGCCATAAATTTGTAACTCCCAAATGAAAGCTTGCAACCAGAATCTGAAGCTTTTTCCTAATATAGTTGCCTCCTAACACAACGTCTATATAATAGATTCTTTATAGATTTTGATTAGTGCAAAGTAGTTTACATATGAACTGTGACACTCACCTGGAGATTTCTTGTCACATATTTACATGTCCTGGATGGGAGTTAACTATAAATAATTGGAATATTTTAAAACAACTTTTTTTGGCTTTCTATACGATAGCAAATAATTGTTTTCATTACATAAAATGAAATACCACTACTGAAGTAGCATTTTACCTGCTTAAGAAACCGGTCAGTTGCGTTGCTGTGCTTGGCTAACACACTTGGCAGAGAAGGATTAGCATATTCAAACTGAGGATTGTAGGTATAGTCAGACTTAAAGAATCTCACTTTTTCTTTCTCCAAGTTGGTGGGCTTTATAGCACTCAGTATACAAAATTTCTTTCCAGAAAAGTCATCTCCTTTTTCAAAACTTCTAGACAGCTGAGGCTGCGGCTTTGGCTTTGGAAGAGTGGAGAAGTGGCGCCACTTGACCTTTCTTTCATTTTTGGGTTTAGGTGGCAGTACTGTGCTGTTTCCTGTAACAGAGATATCATGTGTAAACTTTACAGGACTTGACACTGAACTAGTGACAAAAACAGCAGGCTGCCTTTCTAGGCAGTACCAAGTATCACTGCTCATCACAGGCACTGGGGCTTTCATCTTGCGAAGATCTTTACTACGTGAAGAGCTAGATTTGCTGGGTTTTCTACATCTTTTGGAGTAGGTGGAGGAAGACTGTTTTTGTGAATGATGCTTTTTCTCCTCTTTGCTCTGTAGTAGGACATTGTAACTACTGGTTCCAGTTGTGAAAATGTCCTTTAGTATTCCAGGAGATAAATGTGAAATGCTTCCTTTGCTGCCAATGATCAAGACCTCTTCTGCATTTAGAATAGACTTCTTAGCAAGTTCTTGCTCAGGCCAGTGAAGCTTTTCTGTGTTAATAAACAAAATCAAAACAAAAGAAATAACAAAAGATACCAGATGAAGCAAATTGCTTATTATGTGAAAAGTATTCTGAAGGTTCTGTAAACTTTATAATTTCGCAACAATTTTTAGAAAAGACATTTTTAATATTAAAAGACTATATTACTAAACTTCGGTCAAGCTAGACACAGTCATTTCTGTAAGAATGTACATATGCTAAATTATCTATAAAATTCCTCAGCTTCAAACCATTTAGATGACCAAAGTCTAATCTAGATGTGAGATAATATACATAAATAATCTGAACACTCAACTCTACCAAGAATGTGAATTTCGTAGAAAGGATATAGTTTAATAGTATTACCAATATCAAAGTAAAATCCAAGGCATTTTCAAAGCCAATACAATCTTGAAATCTGACACTATATATAAAGGTAGCCATCAGTAAAAGAAGGACAACACTGTCTTACATATCTCAAAAAAATTTTTTTTTAATTAAATAAATGATATGTGCACATTCAAGCATGTTTTAGTAATGTCACTCAATATTTATTAGTTGCTTTTCTTAATTTTAGGCTATAGGTTAAGATTAAAGAAAATCAAGTTTTTTCTTGCCAAAACTTTAAAAAATAATTACTATGTAAGATATCAGTATATCAAATGCCAAATTAAGGAGAGGTCAGTTTTGCCTTTAGATCTCAAAAGTGCTTTAAAGAGGTAAGAATAACTTGAAATATTGTTGCTTGTGTACTGTTTTAAAACTGTGTTGATTTGCATTCTTTCATTCCACAAATACAGGAATACTGCTAATAGATACATGGATCTGAAAAACATCTGTATAAATACATTGTTCTTGCCTTCAACCAGCTTCTAATCTGGCTTTGAAGGTAAGGCAGTCCTATGAAGATTTGAGTACTAATACGAGGTAGTATAAGCTTAAATATGAAAAACAAAAGACACAGACAATAACCTAGGGTTCAGGGAAGGAAGAGAAACATTTGAGGATTTCAGGTAAACCCTTAAGAGCTTTCAGATTCAATTCTAAACTGACAAAAGTGTTTGAGTTTGTCTTAAATCCTGGTATTTGAACTCCTATCTGACCATGTCTGCTTATAAACCTTTTCTAAATCCTTTCTGCAAATGTGATACATGATTCTCTCAACCACCTCTCTTTTCTAAGTCTCATGGATCCTTATGCCTCTAGCCCTAATCTCTGGCTCCTACTATGGAGGCAATTTCAACGCTAGCTGACTTGGACAGCTGCCTTCCTTGCCAAGAAAGAGACAATTTATTTAATTCCATTTTCAAGAAAACTGTTTATCCACATAGATCTGTTGCTCACTCACTCAAGATTAGACATTCAGGGATCCTTTCTATAATAAGTAGTAATAAATAATAATAATAGCAGCCACTATTTGTTGACACATTTATGTGAGTTTGGGATTTCACCAAAAACCGTGCATGTTATATCACTTAAGCTTCAGAAGTGTTAAGTAATGTGCTCAAGGTTATATGACCAGAAAGTAGTGAAGAGCAAACTGTGATTCGAATGCAGATGTGTCTGATTACAGAGTCCATGCTCATTCTATTATATAAGGTCATTCATTCAATTATCAACAGACATTCAGTATTAAGTCTGCTACATGCACAGCACTACATCTTTTCTTCCTCTGTACAAACACAGCACCCTAATACGACACAGTAATCTGAATAACTGATGTATTCAATACTAAGATAGGTACCAGGACCATGTGTTATTCATGTTTCTCTTTCCAACATCTAGCATGGTATCTGGTAGATATTCAATAAATGTACACTGAATAAATAAGTGAATGAATGAATGGCACAACCCTGAACATGCCATTCTCTGACCACTTTAGATATACAGGTATTTGTAGTTCTGGAACCATTCTATATTTCTATGAGGAGATGACTGTAGAAGTGGAAATATAACCTGGAAGACCTTGAACCAGTGGTTCTCAAATGAGAGCAACTGTGACATTTGGTTGTCACAATTAGGGAGGGATGCTACTAGCATCTTGTGGGTAGAGGCCAGGGATGAGGTTAAACATCCTTCAATACATAGGACAGCCTCCTACAACAAAAATATTCGTCCTAAAATAATGCCACGGTAGGGAAACCCTGCACTAAAAGTTTTTAAAGCCCAGAAGTCTTAGGGTTTAGGGTAAAGAAACAGTATGAGGTCAAAAGTAGATAATAAACAATCCAAATATGTAAGGTACTTAAAAGTCCTTCTAGTTAACATTTTCTAGGCCAACATATGACATTTGAATTCTGTCTAAAGGTAACATGAAAGTATAAACTTGCAGGGTCTAAATAAAATGTCTACTACATGGACAAGCTGAGAGATAGGAACTAGACTGCACAGGGTCATGTTGAAGGTTGATTGTACAAAGAAGCCATTCAATAATGTGAATAAACAGAACAAACAAAACTTTCATCAATGGCTGGTAAGTCCCAGATCCTCAGGGGTTTCATACTTAAGTGTTGCCAACTGATAGTCAAAATTGGGTAGGATGGGCAAACATAGGCTAAGGAACACAAGCTGCAGTCCAAATGCCCACGAACAATGTCGGTGTCCCTAACAAGACACCACAAGTTTAGGAGACAAGAGGTGATAATGAAAGTCAGACTGAAACGGACACTGAAAGGAAAAGAGCAAGAGAACTGAGATAAGAATAAGGGTATCACAAACCGAGAAAAGTTGGTTAAGGACTAGGCACAGCCAGGAAGGTAAAAGGAGGTAATCAGGCTTTTTGGTCTTCATAATAAAAAGGGGGAATTTAATAATTAAAAAAGGGGGGGGGGAATTTACCTCAAATTAAAATCAGTTAACAAAACTACTCTGAAGAATTCCTAATTTGAGTGGTTTGTTACAGGTAGATTGATTTTTTTTTAAAAAAGAATATTCAATGCAAAAAGTGCTTTCTTTGGTTCCTAAGACTCAGTAGCTCTGTTGATCAAAGAGCTGCATTCATAGAGTTTTCTGTTATTTTGTCATAAAGCATCTACATTCTTAATTCTGTCCCATCTCAAACAACCTATACACTTCAGGATACTTAAACAAAAGTCCTAAACCAGCTGCCAAAACACTCAAGGAGGAATGGGGGGAGTGGGAGAGAAATTACAGTGTGTGCATGACAGAACCCCTTCCCCCCTCCCAGGAGTTGCAGCATTTCAGTTCACTTGCTAATTATCTACCTGAGAGGTTTAGCATCAGTCCTTTTTAAGCTCCATCTGCTCATAAGTAGTCTGGGAGTACCAATGGTGTATCTATTTAGTAAATGTCAATCCTGCCAAATGCTGATATCCCATGAAGTTCGTAAATGTGGGGCAGGTGGACCTTCAAACAACTCTTACAAGATAGATATAAATGAATTTCTCAGAGTCATGCTAATCTTATTTTAGTTATATTAAGTATTAGAAAACCTAAAATACTGTTTTTGTCATTTTAAATACTACTACTGTTTAAGAAAAACAACCTTTAAAACAGGCTTAAGAACATAATAAAAGGACAAGAAGAAGAGTTCAATGAAGAACATCCTATTCTAACTCCTTTTTTCCTGGAAAATCAAAACTTTAAGCATAAGCAGGCTTCTTTGGGGGCAAGTGTAACTCATTTTCTCTCAGAAAAGTAATAAAATAAATAAAAATTATACTCTCATATTAAAAGTCACTATTTAATGTAACATTTTAGCCACCAGCAATCTGCTTCACTATAACCTTGGAGAAAATGAAAATAACTTGTTGATCAAAGAAGTCATTCACCCCAAAATGATTACCCATATTGAGGGAAAAAAGGAAAATAATATTACATTAAAATTGATAGTATATTCACAAGTGGATGACTATACTGAAATTACCAACACAATGAAAGCTGAATTTGTATCTAGAACAGGAGTAAAGAATACCAGGATTCCTGGCTTCCATTCCCAACTCTTTCAATAACCTCTCTGTAACAGTGGCTTCATCACTAAACCCATCAGCGTCTCCTGATCCTCATCTAAAGGAATGGAAGAAAGAGGGGAACACTGCTCACTAAACTCTTAGTGTTTCACAACTGAATAGGTGAGGTTTCACAGTAGTTACAAGGTCTCTGGCTGAAAGGAAGATCAGATCATCAGAAACAAAGCCTGCTGGAAAATACCATTCAACCAATTTTGACCCATAAAATGGCAATTTCATATGGTTCACTTATACTTATGAAACCTGAGACCCGGGGTAATTTTATACCACAAAACGATAGGTTGCTTGATTACAAACAGAAGAAGAGGCAAAATAAAACAATTCCCAAACAAGATAAACACTTTAGTTTTACCAAGCTGTTCATCATTACTTAAACTCAAATGATCTAACATCTGTCAACAGCAGAAAGGATGAGTAAATTGTGGTATATTCATACAATAGAATACTATATTGCAATGAAAAAGAACAAACAGTTTGCAAGCAACAATATAGATGAATCTCAAAGACAATACTGAGCAAACAAAGCTAGATCAAGAGAATACATACTGTATAATTCCACTTATATGTAGTCCAAAAGCAGGCAAAACTTGGGACTTCCCTTGTGGTGCAGTGGTTAAGAATCTGCCTGCCAATGCAGGGGACATGGGTTCAATCCCTGGCCCGGGAAGATCCCACATACTGTGGAGCAATCATGCCCATGTGCTACAACTACTGAGCCTGTGGGCCTAGAGCCCATGCTCCTCAATAAGAGAAGCCACCGCAAGGAGAATCCTGAGCACCACAACTAGAGAAAAGCCTTTGCACAGCAATGAAGACCCAACGCAGCCAAAAATAAATAAATTAGAAAAAAAAAAAAACAGGCAAAACTAATGTATGGTATTAGAAGGCAGAATAGTGCTTGTCTTTGAGGGAGGGGTTATAACCTGGGAGGTACCAGGGTACTGGGGGCTAGAAAGCTATCTTGTTCTGCACAGTGGTTACACATATACAGATTCATCAGGCTGCCCATTTAAGACTCAAGCACTTTACTGAATGTAAGTTACACTATAATTTTTAAACTGGTATATTTAAAAAATCAGTATCTTTGAAAACATTTATTGCCCAATCTGTCTGCATTATAACAGGTAATCTTTTAATTATAATACCTCCAAATTCAACATTATCCAATATAGTTTCTCAGCTGTAAGTAAACAGAGAGATGAAAAGGCACTGCTAGTATCATTCAAGAACTGAGAAACTCAACTATACTTCAGGATTCTTAAAAATGTCACAGCTCCGGTTAGGGGCACTTCAATGTTACTCTATCAGCAGCAAGGACTCTTATAATGTGATACTATTGTTTTTTGGTCAGAAACTGCTTGTGGTGGTGGTGATGGTGTGTTTTTGCAGTTAGAAGCATGCAGGGTATTCTATAATGCTGGGAAATGATGGTCTGTGGCAAAAGAAAATGCATTCAATACCATCTAAAACAACAGTGAACATGCGAGAAAAACTTCCCCAGGCTTTCCACTTCGGGTGAAGAGAAAATCCTAATCATGGCACATGAGGTCACTCATGGTCAGGTCACTCTGCCTCTCTGGCCCCAGCATGCACAATGTTCCCCCTTAATCAGTCCACTCTAGCTTCCCTTCACTTTGTCAATCCCTCACACTCACCACTCCCTCTCCAGACACAAAACATCTTCATATTCTGTTCCCTGTGTTTGAAGAGCCTGCCCCTCTCCTCTCTGTTAGATTAATCCCTATTCATCCTTCAGTTCAAGTATCACTTGTTCAGGAAAACTTCCCTGGAAGGTTCTTTGACTCACTTGTCACGGTTGCAGTCTTACATTTGTTTATATGACGGCCTTCCTCATCGCTGAAATTATAAGTCCCATTATGGCATACATCTATGTTTGTTTCTGCTCACTCACTGCCCTGAGAGTTAGCCAAGGAAACAGAATATTTGAGAGGAGAGAAAGGATTCAGGACTTGAATGCCTGAAGGTTGAGGCAAAAATCATACCAGGATGCATAAAAATATGAAACAATTAGTGATGCTGAAGATAAATTTTAATGGCAGGTGCCTACTGCTGTAGGACAGACAGGAGCTATGTGCCTAAGTGTATTCATCCCACATGGCCAAACACTGCTCTCAAGACTTTTGGCTCCAGTATTTTTAAACATTCACTTTTGTTACAAAGGAGCTTCATTTCCAGATGATTAATCACTTCTTATATCACATACAAGATACAAGCAGTAGGAATTCATAAAATAACATAATCTTATATGGCTTCTGATAGCATTTTGTTACTCACTTAATGAGCTAGATGTCTTCTTCTATTTTGAAAACAATTTTATAGTCAAGTAAAATATGATCTTTCCAGGCAAAAATTACAGACTTGCCTGTGATGAAAACTTAAAAGCACCTGGAGTAAACTATCAGCTAATGTACCACTGATGTTAAATGAGATACACATGTTGAATTTTGTGGCTTAAATCAACATATAGTCATTTAAACAAGGGTTCTGACTTTCCTAGTGGTTGAGAAAATGGGCTTTGGAATGGAGCTTCTCTGATTTGAATCTTGGCTGTTTATTAGCAGCTGTGACCTTGAGCAAGTTACTTAACATCTTTGTGCTGCAGTTTCCCTATCTGTAAAATGGGATACTACTACTATATACCTCACAGTATCGGTAGGAGGATCAAAAAAGGTAATATATGTGAAGTGCTGAGAACAATGCTGGCCTGTACTAAGCAGCAGGTGTTAACTATCAGTATTACTATATTCAATACTATATTCAGCTCCTATAGAAATACTCCATGGAATAATGTAAATGGGAAGATATTCAGAATCATGAAATTTGGATTTCCAAGGTAAATTTAACATTAAGTAATAAATTCTACATTCTAGAATCAACATTTTAGTGGCTTTAGTATAATAAATCATCTTCTTTAAAAAGCTATGAGAAGGTAAAGAAATCTTCTGATTTGACCCCATTTCAAACAGCATGTATAACATACAAATCTTTCTTTTTTATTTTACTCCTCCAATCAGTTCACCAGGATGTTATATTTAGATTATATTAAATCATGAATAATCAATAGTGAGTAAGATACTATACTGGAAGTGATTTCAGAAGCAAGTAACTGCTTCAGTCCTGAAATAAAACAATCAGTTTGCTCTATACCTATTTTAAAGCCGAAAAGAAATAAACACATTTCCATCAGTACCCTTACCACAAACAAGCATGCTCTTGATGCTAACCAGAAGAACATGGGCTTCTAAGATATCAATGAATGATGGGATAGTGAGGGAAAAGGAGGGCATGCTTTCAGCTAAACTCTTCATAAAGTTTCTGGCCGTTGAAACTGGGCTTTCTGATATGTCAGCAAAATGCTAGGCATGGGGTTCTAGAACTATCCTTTTAACTACTCAAGAAATTTATAAAAGAAATGGATAAACTATTTTGAAAAACAACCAGTCAGTTGTTTGTTTGTTTTGCGGGACGTGGGCCTCTCACTGTTGTGGCCTCTCCCGTTGCGGAGCACAGGCTCCGGACGCGCAGGCTCAGCGGCCGTGGCTCACAGGCCCAGTCGCTCCGCGGCATGTGGGATCCTCCCGGACCCGGGCACGAACCCGTGTCCTCTGCATCGGCAGTCGGACTCTCAACCACTGTGCCACCAGGGAAGCCCCAGTCAGTTGTTTTAAATGAGGCTTGAATTGTCTTAAATGACTATTTGAATTTTTATTGAACTACAGAAATACACTGCCAGATTATCTTATCTCAGGAAATGCAACATGCAGAGTTGGATTGATACGTCTATTGCCACTAAATTATGGGAAGAGAGCTGAGGCAGGAGGAGTGGGTCTACTATTTTAGAAAGTATCTCTCCTCAAACTTCCAACTCTGCATATTAAAAAACAGGAGATCCACTTTGTTGCTAACTGGTCAGATACCCACTTTCTAAAACTAATATTATCATAATTGTATTTTTCCTCTACCATGATTGTTATGCTTTGGGGAAATTATCTTAATTGATGTTATTTCTAAATCGTTATCTAATAACCTTCACTAGTATATTTTTCTAACTAGTATATTTTTTCTCCAGGGCAGTGGTTCTCAAATGGGGCGGGGTGGGGGGTTAATTTGCCCTCCAGGAGACATTTGACAATGTTTGGAGACATTTCTGTTTGTCACAACTGTGTGTGGGGGTGGGGGTTACTAGCTTCTAGTGGAAGAGGCTTGGGGTGCTGCTAAACATACTGCAATGCACAGGACAGCCCACTGCAACAGAGTTATCCACTGACTCAACATTAATAGTGTCACGGTTGAGACTCTGTTCCAATACAAAAAGAAGATATGGTACTTTAAAGTAGCTTTCGGGACTTCCCTGGTGGCACAGTTAAGAATCCGCCTGCCAAGGCAGGGGACACGGGTTCGAGCCCTGGTCCAGGAAGATCCCACATGCCACGAAGCAACTAAGCCCATGCGCCACAACTACTGAGCTTGCGCTCTAGAGCCTGCGAGCCACAACTACTGACCCCACGTGCCACAACTACTGAAGCCCGCACGCCTAGAGCCCATGCTCCACAAGAGAAGCCACCGCAATGAGAAGCCCGAGCTCCGCAACCAAGAGTAGCTCCCGCTCGCCGCAACTTCAGAAAGCCCATGTGCAACAACAAAGACTCAACGCAGCCAAAAATAAATTTTAAAAAATAATAATAACTTTCAATTTTCATTGTATTTTAAGATGAAAGAACAGGATCTACATCAAATCACTTCAAGAAAAAAATTTAATGCCAATTTAAGTTGTCTCTTAAATCTTAGATCTTGTAATTGTCTGTTTCCTGACAACATAAATAACAAAGAGATAAATCACAGCAATGTCATGACTGCACAAAATCAACTCATTTTATAACCTGGAACATGAAATATAAAATTAAGACCATAAATATTTTCATTAAAAGTGAATTTCGTGGGCTTCCCTGGTGGCGCAGTGGTTGAGAGTCCGCCTGCCGATGCA